ACAGACAGCAAATGACAAAATCTGACAAGATCTGAGTCAGATAGAGTGCTGACAGCTTGAGCATGACGACAATGACGCAGCAGTTTTATATATCAAGTGGGGCGCAGCACAATTTGGATCCATTCCCACTTTCAAAGGGTTGGGAGGAAGTAGTTGAATGCCAACGCAAGAACACTACAATCAGCGCCTGCTGACTACGAAGTGCCCAGAATCATACAATCCACAGTCATGTGGCTTCATGCAAGCAAATGGCTTTCTAGCATCATTCCACCCACTGATTGCCAGCCCTTGGGGTATCTCGTTTGCCAGCATTGACTGAAGACTGACGCACAGCAACATTGTGCTTTTCTCACCCTTTACAGAAACTTAAATGACATAGCAACTGAGGCATATAATGTCAGCATGCATAGCCACTCGCTGTGAACCAGGTCTTTCTGATGAAATGATAAATGGAGCTTCCGAGTCCATTGAGAGCTAGACGATTTGATCATGGATCAGCGTAAGCAATAAACAAAATCAAAGGCTCTTGGGGCTTTGTCTCGAGCGCACGCTTGCACAACTTCGTGGCGGCATGAGTCCAAAACTCACAATGCCGTTATGAAACGCGGCGTTCCGATATGCTCCATGCGAATGCAAAACAAAGCAAACATTGCGGCAAACATTCGTAGCAATCCCAGTGAGTTCCGTGTGAGTCCTTTCATGTAACGCAAAAGCTGAGGCGCGCCAGGTAAGCGCCGGATTGGGGGCCATTTCGGTGCTGCTTTGGGTGTTGGGATCCTAGAATTTCCGGAGTGAAAAAGTACAACGGGTTCACCTGTAGGGCCACATGTACACAAAAGATCGGAACGGACTCAAACATGCATGCTGCATGCCTGTCATCTTCTGGCCATCAATCTTTCTCAGCTTCTTGTCTCGGCCCTCGCATTTGTCTCGGCTTTTTTCTTTTTTGTTTTTCTTTTTTTCAATCTTGAGGCATCTACAAAGCGCCAGCGTGGGGGCTGGCGTGACGAGGTGCAATTGGCTTGGTGGGTCATACTGCAACGCTTGTTGTTTTGTTACCAAGACAGAGTTGTTGAGACGTTGCCGTTGTGAGACAGTAGAGAGAAAAACCATGAAAAACCAATCATGAGGAGAGGAGGACACACGATGACTTGCTTGCAAGCTGGTGCCCGTCAGGTAGACGAAGAAGATAGCGCGGCCGGCAAGGCATTTCAGCACAAGCTGCTGACCCAAACTGAGTGGATACATCACATTGTGAGATGCCCCTGTGCCCAACACCCACTGCGCAACGTGCGCACTTTGTACAGTAAATGTCATGAAAATGACTTCCTGTTCGTTGAAGGCTGCGAATGACGAAGACTCTGAGGAGGAGCCCTGGCTTTTGACTTTGAATCCTTGAGCAGCTTTAACTCATCTTATTGGCAGAAGCAACTGAACATGGATGACTCATTAGATAAGTTGGAGAAAAACAACAACATACAAATTCGATAGAGCTGATGCGCATAAAGATAATGTGAGGTGGTTGAGCAGAGAGCGTTGTTTGATTTGTTTGTACTGTATCAATCGTTGCCCAGTTGGACCCGACAAACTGCCCAGGCGATCTTGGATCCAGGAACACCTCTGCCTTCCGATGAGGACTGGAACGCAAGCGGAAAGAATTGATGGATTCACGCTTGGACACAGTTGAAGACCCTTTTGAAGACACACTGAAGGTATCTTTTCAGTGACAACATATGACAACGTATGACAACCATGTTGACAACATTTGACAACCATATTGACAAACATGTTGACAACCATGTTGACAACCATGTTGACGACCATGTTGACAACCATGTTGACAACCATGTTGACAACCATGTTGACAACCGTGCCAATGAAAGCAGGAGGAAGCTGCAGAAGAACCAAAGGCCGAGCGGCCGAGCGGCATGTGCTTCTGTAGACTCTGTACGTACTGTATGACATTGATTGACATTGCATGACATCGTATGACTGTGTGCTGTGCTATGCTGTGCTATGCTGTGCTATGCTGTGCTATGCTGTGCTATGCTGTGCTTCTATGCACTCTTCTGTGCACAAGAGCCGATCCAAGCTGATCGGCCGATGTGTTGCAGAGGTCCAAGCAGAGCCAGCAGAGGAAGAGGTGGGGTAAATCTGCATGTATATGATGCATATTATATGATATTATAAGATATTATATGTGTGTGCTGGAAGATTTGAAACAACTCTATTTTGAAGAATTCAGTACTAGGTGCGTGCTTTGACTATGTTGTCAGGTTGCCGAGTCGACCGAGGCCAGGCTTGAAGTTTTCAGAATGGAGACTGAGTTGAAAATTATTTGGCACAGTGGAAACATGTGGAAACTACTGTAGAGATCTTTTTGCACACTTTGGCATACTTTGGCATACTTTGCGGTAAGCTTCGCAAAAGTCGGATTCATTCCTCCTTTGGATTTGATATTATGCTACCTCAGTGCCTGGCGAACTTTGCAAAAACAAAGACTTACCAACAACATTTGGCAACCACATACGCAGACAGAATAACGGTAAGGCGAGGGAGACACGCACCCTTATGGAGTGGAACAGTGCAATTTTTGACAATTTTTGCATGATTTGACATGTAGGGACAATGTGCTTGATTGATTGGCTTGTTGGGGGTTGTTGGGGTTGCTGGGCTAGTCGGGCTAATTTGTTGGGGTGATTGGGGTATATACGGTATATAGGTATTGGGGTTGTTAGGGTGATTAAGGCTGTTGGGTCGGTTGGTTGTGGTGTTGGATGGTGTTGGATGGTGTTGGGTTGTTGCTATTTTGACCTCTTGGGTTGGTGGGTGGTTTGTTTGTTTGGTCCTTTGAGCGTTTCTTTGATCGTTGGTTCGCTTGGCTCTTTGTGCCTTTTGTTGGGTCAATCTCAGTGCACGCAGTGCCAAGTATGGACGGGCAAACAGCATGAAGCAGTTGCAAAGAGGTCAAGATATCCAGTTCTGATAAACTGCGAGAAGCTAAGATCTGCGAATGCTTCACCATGCGCAAAAGCGTAGCAGGCTGTTTTCGCCTGCATTCTTGCGTTTGATTTGATAGCTGCGGCACGGAAGTCCTGCAACATTTTCGCACCTGAACAGATTATATATGCACTGTACGCAAGTTTAACTTTGGAGAGAATCTGTTGCAGGGCCGAAATGATCAAATAAACGAGTCAAGCGAGCGAACGAAGCAAGTCATTGCACAATTTGCACACACAAATGGCTGTCATCTCTGGCGTCGTGATGGCATGGTCCTGGCAGTTTCACAGTGCCCATCAGTGCCAGAATGATTTCCTGGTGCAGCCATACAAAGGATTAACCGGGCCCAGTCTTGGGGAAACGAAGAAAATCAATGATCCCTCACGGAAAAGTAGAAAGTGGGTCAACCAATTTCAAACACACGTTACCTGTAGCAGCTATGGATAGCAAGGGACGAATTGTTTTTTTGTGGTTTCGTCGCTGTAGGATTTACAAGAGGTCTCAATTTGTCCAGCGCTTTTGGTCTATTGAATTGCCATCCAATCATATGTCACAGGCACAGGCAGTCGTCCCTGCAAAGGCACAGCACGGGGAAGTCTGTGCATCATTTGTGGTGAGAAAACTTGTTTTTCCCAGTTGTTGAATTGTCCTTTTCCCATGTGAACTGTGACAGTCGAACCGGACATTATTGGAGGAAACTTGGACCCCCCCGACTATTGACACAGCTTGAACACATTGACATGCTTTGATGAGCTTGATTGGACAAGCTCAGGCTGGATCACTTGGAAGGATTCTTATGGGTTGAATTTTGCCAATGAAGCCGACTCATCACGGGAGGGTTTTTGACGTTGCAAAACACGCACCTGCACACATAAATGCATCTACACTATTTGACATGCACACATGACAATATATGCATACTGCATACAAATAGAGTCAAATACAACACAAGGAAAAACATGTATATATATATTATATTGTAGAAATACTAGCACACAGACGCGTAAATATATGTACATGTATACCTATATGATCCTATATGTGTAGCTGTAGGTACAGATTCACATTTTTTATTCGGACATATCTTCCAGTCATCCAAGATACCACAGATGAATTGGCTGCCAGGAGGAAACACCAGTGCCTGCAAACACTGGAGGCTCGGCAAGACTAGTGACAAACGAGGGCCGCTTTGGAAATCCATGGCCGTAGCAGTGGTTGCCGTCGTGTAGCTGTCCCTCGAAATTCAATGCAGACAAAACAGGTGAAGCCAACACGCCGGTGGTTTGGGACTTAAATTGTTTCGAAAGAATAAAGTTGTCTCTTTGGACAGCCCTTGTCCATTCTTGCTGTACAGCCCTACAGCCCTACAGCTCATATTGTGCAACATACGTTTCAGAGACGCCGACAGAAATACAGTACTGCTGCCCTCCTGTATCCTCATTGAACTGTGGTTGATTTGTCAACATTCCTGTTGTTTATTTCGAGGTTTTCACCCTCGAAGTCACTGTTGGCAAGAATCAAGTTGGTGAGCAACAACCCTGGTTCTTGGGGTCGCAGAGCGTTGAAAGTAACAGTTGCATTGAAGCCAAAGCAGAGCTAGTGGAACCACTGTTCTCTGGGCAGCTGACGCCTGTACTACGTAAATTGAAAATGGCAATCGAAAGAATTGGAAGCAGACACTTCCCAAACTTTCTAGCCTTTCCATGGCATTCTACGGCAATGGTTTTGTTTGCAAGTTTTCAAATTGGGTTTGCCCAAGGATGCGGGTCCTCTTACCTCTCGGCCTCGACTCCGACGTTGAGCAGCGACTCTCTGTGTGACACTGATTTTGTCAATGTTTCCTTACATGAAGTATGATGAAGCATATGGTTTCATGATGCTTCATGATCATTCTTTGTCACATGTCAAACACATTGACTTTTTTTGGGCTATGCATACATATATCCCGGCGGACTGGAAACCGTGCTCGTAAAAACAACATTTTTCTAAAAAAAATAATTTTCGCCATAGCGAAACAAACATTTCTGCAACCCGAGTTGTGCCAAATTCTTGTGCGAGAATTTGGCAAAATTCGTGTTTCGTGTGGGTTTTGGATTCATTTCATTGGGGCATGTTGACAGTTTTTTTTCTTTCTTTTCAAAGCAGGCGCTTCGGCCTTGAAATTGTTTTTTGCTGGAGATGGGTATGCAGATTCAGATTCACATATCTCCAGCACTGCCAGCATCACATAGAGGAGAAGACAATTTGCTCTTTGTTAACATGCCCCCCCCACCCCACCCCTTCATGTATACAACGAAGCAACACTACCAGACATCTGTGCAGCGTAGCAACATGTAGCGGAAGAAGTACAAGGAACGTTAACATGCCTCCCTCACTCAACCCCGCCCCGCTGGCATATATATATATATATGTATATGATACACAATACACACACGCCCACACCCCCCTATTTACATATTTATATGCATAAGCTGTATATTTATGTAAGGGTCTAGGGTGGGGGAATGTATGATGTCTGTAATGTGTGCATGCCCACTTCTTACTTATATCTGTCATTTGTACACGGGCTGTGAAATATCCGAAACATTGGAAACTCTTAACGAGACTACACAGTACATTATACAAGCTAAAAGACTACAAAGTGCGGGGCGCTCAGACGGTGTATTTACATACATATGTTATATTACATGTGACATTTAATGATATGTGAGATATATACTGTAATTATACAGGGTAAAAATCAGAGCAATGCAATGCAATCTAGTCGTGTAAGATCTTGTAGTGTGGTGTAGTACGGTGTCATCGCTAGTATTGTGTAGTATGGGGCCAGTACCACATTGCATGGTTCGATATAGACGACATGTAACGAAATGTACTGTAATCTAATGAAGTATGACATTGTATGGTGTGGCATGGCATGGCATGGCATGGGATGGCATGGGATGGCATGGGATGGCATGGGATGGCATGTATGGATGTACTTATGGTAAGGTATGGTGATGTATGGTGACGAGATGTGATGAGTATTGTTGGCAGTGTAAGTTCGGATGCTGTGCAGAGAGTGTTTGGCGGTTGAGGCGTTGACTCCAGATGGAGGCTCTGTGGACTTCATCACCAACAAACTCTGCGGCTTTGGAGGCCAGTGATATTCTGTTGCTAGGTCTGCTAGGTGTTGGTCAGCTGACAGATCCTTCCCAGCCCAACTCCAAAGTTTGTGTGAAATGTGCAAACTCCCAGAAAACATCCGGAAACCATAGAAACCTCTGAGAACCGGTGAAACCTAAGAACTTAAACGGCACTGTTCTAACACTGAGGCCACCCGGTGCCTGGGCAGAAGGAGGAGGAGGTCCAAGAAGGCGACCGTGCTTTTTGTTTTGTTTTTTTTTGTTTTTTGCCGATTTTCGGCCACTCACCGAATTGACCGAAGCGCGAATGAACGAATGAAGGCGTGCTCTCCACTCGCCGATACTATGCCCATACGAGTCACTGGATGTCACTAGCCCTGTCAGAACATACAAGAAGCAGGAGAAGTGCTGAAACAGTTCAGGCAGGAAATGACTTGGCGCAGCCATTCTGAACTCAAACTTATTCTTCGGCTGCTGCTATCCGAGCTTTTGTAGCCTGAATGGGACCAAGCAAAATGCGACTATGATGAATGCATCCTTCCCTGGGAATCTGTGAAGTAAAGTCAGACATCAGAGCAACATAAAGCAACTAGCCATGCTTGCCACAAATATTTTGACTTTCGTATGCTTGCTGGATGATCATTGTAAGCAAGCGGTGTTGAGTGAATACTGCAAAATTGCCCTAGTGCAAGATAAGCTGAAAGGAGTGCCATTCTTTTCACTTTGTTTGAAATTTGCAAGAAAGGAATCAAGGTGGTTCAGAGTTGTCATATGTTGTCATATTGATTCAGAGATTCACAATCTTTGGCTTGACAACCTGAAGCAATGCACCGCATTTTAATCGTTGGCGCTGGAGCAACTGGCTCTGCTGCTGCTTTGCGTTTGCGACAATTGGGAAATGTTGAGCTGGAGGTTTGGGAGAAAGCACGTGGACCAGGAGCGTGCAAGCTGAAAATGCTGAAATTCATTAAACCATATTAAAACATATTAAAACCAGAGCTGGCTTAAGTCATATGAATTCATAATAATTCATATGAGTATTCCAAAGTCGACGAACTTAATAATCTTAATACGCATACGATCTCCTATTAGCATTGGTTATTCATACGACATATCATGCTACCTCGCCACCACAGAGAAAAGTTCACGACCAAAATTGCGATTGTTTGTAGGTACACACACACACACGACTTGAAGCATACTGTAGTCAGACCTTCTGGAGCTGAGATTGAGATCCGTGCAGCAAAATGGACAGGTGGTTCAGAATTTTCAATTCTTCAGGCCAATTGTATTGGAAGAGATCACAAGTAAGCACACGCATGCAGGAGGCCGCATGAGCACCAACCGCCAAGAAGTCAATGGCGCTACTGTACGAGCTGACATGGGAGCTCAGCTCCTTGCCGCAACACCACAACGTGGAGCCTTAGTAAGGGCACTATGCTCTGCTATACAACAAAAATTGGTGTTTAAATGTTTTGAAACATCCTTTTTCATCCTTTACCTTGTTTTCACCTTTGTTTTATATACCATCCTTTTACCTTCGTTGGATTGAGAATGATTTCCGTAGATTGACTCCGCCCTGCCGACTGAGGTATTTGTCAGTCGATGAGTCAGACTCCGCAAGTTTGCAAGTTGCCGATATGCTGTTGTCATCGGGTGTTTGTGCCCAGGCCCATGGACACGATTCTCACAGACACAGCACTGGCCTGGATTTGTTCGAAGGAAGTTTCAAGTGCAGAAACAAGAGGTGCAGAAGAACTGAGCACTCGTACAATTAATGCCTTTTCACCATGCATGCAATGAAGTAATTAACTTACTAACAAACTGGCAAAATGGCGAACTAACAAGCACACCTATTACTTGATATTACTTGACCTAACTGCCCACTTAACCAAGCAAGTAAGCCGACTCAAATACAGTATATTTATAGTTCACCAAGTATCTCATCATCTAACCATCCAACTGACTGACAGACTAACGCTCTAACGAAGTCGCAGACTGATCAAGCATGTTTGATCAGCTAAGTGAGTGAGACAGTGACTGATTGGCTTTGAAACAAACAACATAAACAAACAACAAACCAAGCAAGCAAAAAAAATACTAGCCAAAACACCATATTGGATTTGATGCTTACTTGTTGTGCCACACAACCCATCTTCAAACTAAAAGAAATGCAGTCTTTTCTTTCTATGCAGGAAACATTGAACAGGGCTGGAAATGAGCTGTATTATATTTACTACAGTGGGCTCTGAAGAGAGGGAGAGCTCCAAGAGTGTCCGTAGCTGGTCAAGGTGATGTTAGACACGGAACCATCCTCAAAGATGTTGGTCAGAATCGTTCCTACTGGAGCAGCTGCATAGATGTTTTCACTTCTTTTTTTTTGCATGTGGGCTGGCACTGTATGGTGTTTCATAAGGGTCGTGATCGCATGGCGTTGCTCCTGATGCAGCCTCCGTAGTGCGGCATGGGAGAAACTGATGGTACATTTCGTGGAAAGGGCTAAACTCCAACAAATTCCATCGTTCATTTAACAGATTTAACTTAACCATATACTTGCGTAATTCACTCGAAGGTTGCTGGTGCCGGCATGTATCTGAGGTCACTTGGGCTGAGTCATTCACACAACCCGGTCACTCATCGAATCACCATTTCATTGGGCAAGATGATCAAACATGAAAAGTCGCTCAGTGACTCGAATAAACTGGCCACCAATCAATGAACGTGCTTACACAATCAAACGATTGCTCAGGCGGCCAATCAATAAGGGGTTCGATCGATCAATCATACCAAACCATACCAAACCATACCAAACCATACCAAACCAAAAAATCAACCAACCAAGCAGCAAAGCAAGCAAAGCAAAGCAAGCAAAGCAAAGCAAAGCAAAGCAAAGCAAAACCAAGCCAAGCCAAGCAAGCAAGCACGCACGCAAGCAAGCAAGCAAACACACAAGCACGCACGCACGCACGCACGCACGCACGCACTCACGCACGCACGCACGCAACCAAGCAACCAAGCAACCACCCAGCCAACCAATCAGCAGGGGCCTGATAGCCTGTTACTAAAGTAGTGCGTTCAAGCAGGTTCTCCTATTGTTGAGCAAATATCGCCCGTGTGCCGGGAATTACCGATGTGTTAGAGTTTCAGAATAGACTTCTACACCAGGCTTGTGTTGCACGATGTTGCGTGGCTTTTACTCTGTCCATCACTGTCCATCACTGGTGTAGGTCTCATCGGAGCATCTCAGTGCCACGCCGGAGCGGCCAAAGCAGGCAAAGCACCTGGCAGGCACAGCTGGAGGCGTCAACGATGCACTGAAACTGCTCTTGGAGGAGGAGCGGACATTGCGGATATAGCTACCATCGGCTACCCATTTCTGTTAGATTCTGTTAGATGTGTTAGAAAGGAAATGGGTAGCCGAAAGTGAATGGATGTGAATGGCACTCGACTTAGTAGACTCAGTCATACTTATGTCTGCCAGGCAGGTGCCACTGTGCATTATGAGAAGCGCGTGGCATCCTTAGATTTGCAGAGTGGACTTTGGCGCGCTCGCCCTTTTGAAGGAGCACCAGGCTGGATTTGCGATTTTGAGCTCGCTGTGCAAAGCGTTCCGCCTGTGTGTTACTCGAAGGCATGTTTGACGCCGTGCTCGTCGCAGTCCCTGGGTGTGGTGTAGGCAGGGCTCGCAGATCAAAATCCATAGGGCATTTGCGACAAAAGAAGAGGTCAAAGCTGCCAAGGCACATTCATTTTTCATCAATTTTTATCATTACTGTACATTACTTTACATTTATTTATGGTTGTTCACTGTCGCCTAAATTTGGTTTTTCTTCATCAATCATATGCTGTTTCAGTGCCAGGTGGTGACAACCTCC